GCCGTCCCCTCGGGGCCGCGTGCCCTGCGGTGTACACCGCCGTCAAACCGACGCGCGAAGCTGTCCGCTCGTTAAAACACGCCTTGCTCTTTATTTTTATATATATATTTTTGATTGGAATCCAGTGTTACGAAAGCAAGCGCACAGAAACCTAAAGCATCTCTCGTTCCGCCTTTTTCCAAATTTTTGGCAGAAGGCGCTTAACACATTTCCTCAGACATGAGCACCCAGGAGCTGCCTGTGTGTATTCCAGCAAAAGAGGTTTCCTGATGTTTTTCCATATTCTCTCCTTTGCATTTATAATTATATATGTATTGTCATATAGATGTGTCCTACATACCCTTACAGGCTGTTTTCAATTAAGTATCCTAATGCAAATAGGGTAGAGACCTTTATTTGGAAGAATTCTTATGGAAATCCTGTCATAAAAAAAAGGATATAGGAGATATGTGTGGAAGAGATCAGCTCATATAACAACTAATTTTAACTCACTAATTTTTAAGTTGCTAAGTGTCTGATTTTCATCATGCTGTTACAACATTCTTGATGATTAGAACAGAGACTGGCAATTAAAAAAAAAACAGAACAGTAAAGCTGGCAGCTTTTCCTGTAAAAATCAACATATTTAAGATAAACTAGCTTGTATCACTTCATAACAGATTGTTAATACTTAGTCATGTTTTTTAAAGATTCTGGTTGCTTTGTGCCTTGGAGACTATAGTCTTCACAATGAAGCCCCTTATATTGTCTGATATGTCTCTGATTTTCATTGCAATACCAAGAAAGAACTAAATCTTAGTTTGCAAGACAAGTCTATCTATACACTTGCACACTTGCTGATTTTACTCTAGTATATTTGTTTCGATTTAACAGCCAATAACATGGGCTAAGAACAGACTAGTCTTGCACAGATTCAGAATTGTGAAGGGGACAGCAGCTGGATTTCGGAGAACCCTGCACTGAAGAGGCAAGAGCCTTTCCACGCTCAGCAGACAGGAGCGTTACAGGCATGGCCGCACTGCTGGAGCGGTAGCAGCTGCTGTAGCAGCTTTATCCCTATAGGCTTTATCCCTATACAACACAACTGTTTTGAATGTCTCCATGTATCTCCATTTGTCAGGATCTTATTATACCTTACAAACGTACTGAATTAATATTTCTATCTCTTCCTTAGCTTTCATTAAAAAGGGATTGTGCCACCTGTGTGCATATGGTGGGTGCTCCATATTGACATTTGGAGGCGCTTGATCAAAATCAAATCTGACTAATAAGCAGAGATCTCACAGATTTGATTTTCTTATGGTTAAAATTAAAATAGCCATCTGGGTAGGCAGAAGAACCCCTGTTCATAGCTTCATTGATAGACAGGGTGCAGTGGAAACTCAACCTTTACTAAAGGCAAAAGAATTGGTACAGAACAAGACATTATGAGTGCCCTGACTCTGGAGACAACATTGACAGATGCATTCACCTTCTCAGATACCAGAAAAATCCAACACAAGATGTAAATGCACAGGAAGCTATACAGTGAGTCAGTGGTAAAGACAGAAATAGAAACGTTGTCCAAGTCTTATTCCCGTGTTGAGCATGTTGGAGTGAAGAATAAGCTTATTGGAGAGGGAAGGAGAGACAAAGTGGGGAAAGCACAATCCTATGTGAAAATTAGTGTAGGCAGTAAGTTGAAAATGCCACAAATTTTGCTTGTTGGGACTTTATTTTGGGACTTTTTATTTATTGCATTAAGCATAGTTGGGATAGAATAAGAAGGATCTCAGCAAGATTATGTAAAAGATTAACAAATTCTATAAGATAATGCCTCTTGCAACTCCAGAGTTCATTTCATCTATGAAAAAGTAAATTTATCCAGAGCATATATATAAAACCTACTACAAAGTATGTAAATGTGTGTAATCTCTCTATTCTGTATTTCAAAAATGCAGTTATTGTATTCAGAATCTCTCTCTGAGAAAAGAAAGTCTGTTCAGATAGACCTATATAAGAGGTCACAATCGTTTTTCTTCTCATCCTACTTCTCCCCTGTAAAATTATCTCAGACTCAAGGCTTACATATTTTTAGCACACATTATGATTAAGAGGATATCTGATTCAGAACTTAAAATTAAGCCTTTCATTTTGGTTTGTATTTTCTCAGTTTGAAGACTTTTGCTTGCTTTAGAACATGCATCAGAAAATCAATTAAATTTTTCCTTCTTTTTGCCAATGTCTCCATAATGTGCGAGGTAGCTTTTTGAGAGAAGATGACTTTTTTTCTGAGGATAGAATGAAAATGGACTTTCTGTCTATAGGGGACAGGGCTTAGCACTCAGCATTAGAAAGCAAAATTTAATCTCTGGTACTCAGAACCAATTCACTTTAAAGAACTTCAGGTGACCGTCACATTAATTTTCATTTTGGTTTGTGTTTTCTCAGGTTCTTAGTGATACTGTGACTGTTACTAAATGGAAACTGCCTAGTGCCTAGTGGATGTGATTCACAATAGCCACTGAATGTTAGTGTTCCGTAAGTACCCGCTCTGTCCCTAGTCTTTGCAGAAGTCTGCATGCAGCCACCAATGCAACTGGTTGATGGACATGGTCAGACCACACAGAGGTGAAGCACAGTTCTCCCCGTCTCGAAGTGATGACCATGCCACTGCCACCAGGAAGGCCTTGGGGCTTGGGTGACCTCAATGGTTAGGTGTAGCAGAATATAAACAAGACAGAAATAATGATTGATAGAAGTTCAATAATGATTGATAGAAGATTCATGAAGAAGTGACTATCAATAACCCAGAAAGCTTTCCAGCACCTAGGAAAGGAAAATACAGCTTAACCCATTACATACTCAGGGCAGCTTTGACAGTGTGTCTAAAGCATAGAAGGCATAGGAGCACCCTAGCAAAGCACCACAGGCTGAATTGTCTTAATACAGGCTTATAACATGTTTTATCTACAAACATTGTAATTTAATTCTAGGAGTGAAGCACAGCAGAGAATGCTCTGCGGAGAAGCTTGTGGCGTGTGGGAGTCTGCCAAACATAATGGCTCTGAGCTGCTTAATTAATTGTTAGTTGTTAAGTGTGAAGAGATGTTGGCCAGAAGGCTTGTGTTAAAAGTGCAAACTGTTATTAGTAGGATGTAAGGATGGTCTTGCCAAAGTAGCATTTCCAAAGAAACTGGAGCCTCTGGAGTGACATGCCAAAGAGCGCAAATATAGGGCAAATAGATGAATATCTGAGATTTGGCAAGCCCTGGGGTACAGTTGTTCATATGTATTGATTTGAGGAAGCCATTCCATATTTTAATTACTGAAGTAATGAAACAGCACAAAGTAAGAGCCACTGATTATGTGTCTATTGATTATGTTTATAACCAATAAATGTATATTTATCATCACCGTTTGACACAGGAGGTAAGATAATATCTGAGGCATTCCTATGTTGTTCATAGAAAGAGAAATTAGAAATGGGCACTGGCTTATTTTCGTACAGTGCTGTTTCTCAGCTGTTGGGAACAAATTATAAACTGACAATTATAAATTGCTCATCATTTCCAAAACTGCAGAGAGTGTCTGATTTATTGGTCGCAGGTAGGAATTGGAGGTGACCACAGCAACTTGCTTAAGAGCATAAGAATAGTCATCCTAGTTTGGCCCAGGAATCTGTTAATCCCATACCCTGCCACTAAGCCTGATCTAGAGGCTCTGTCTCCCTTATAATTGCTATGAAAATGTCCAAGTCTCCAAAGGCAGGTGAGCAGCTGCGTAAGCTCTGTATCAGTGGCCTCAGCTTTGAACTGATGGATGAGAGCTCCTGAAACCCCCCTGAGCAATGTCCCTCCTGGACCAGCCGTGCCTTGCTGCATCTCTCAGCAAGTACTTGTCCAATGTCTCCTTGTATCTCTGTAAATGTCTTGCCATCTTTTGGCGGGGGCTGTCAGTTTGGTGGGGAAATCAGATCGTCACATTCTGCATTTCACTGGTAGGTTCTTGTTCCTGAATATACCTCAAGATTTTCTCAGTATTGACAGTCGTGTTGCCTCGGTCCAAATCTGCAGGCACCGCACAGCAGGGAATGAAGAGTTCATGGTTTGAAAGGGTGCCACTGCAGAGAGGGGCTTTTCCTAATGAGGGGCTCTGTCAAAAAGGTTGCCTGTCAAAACCAATCATGAATGCAGACAGGCCTAGGCCTCTGTTGCCTCTGTATTTATTTGACAACCAAGAAGTTTGCATCTCTCCAGCCTCGAGACTGGATCACTGCAGCACACCAGAAATCTTTTGGAACCTACTGAGGTCAAGAAGGAATGTGTAAAATGCAGTTACTGCTGGTCCCTTGTTACAGTGTAGGTAATACTGGGTTAGAATGGGTAAAATAATACCAAATTTTATAGTTGGTTTATTCCTTTTGATCAGACAGTATTTACCCTTCCTGTCAGCCAGTCAGGTGCTGCTTGGGATATTCCGCTTGGTGATAGTTTGACAGCACAGGTCACTAAAATTTAAAAATACCATTTTAATTACATGGGCAAAGAGCATAATTAGCCCATCTTTGCTCCTGGCTTGTTTTGACTGAAGTAGCCTAACAAGCATTCCCACAAGCAGTTCAGCTGGCATATACAAAGGATATGAAATCTTGGTGTTTTGGGACATTTTCCCAAGCAGCTGAGGCCAATAGGTCCTTTATTTGCTACAGGCGTAGCTGGATGAGGTGCATGTTGTCTGTCAAGATCATAGCAAAGCAAAAAAAGAAAAGAAAAGAAAAGAAAAGAAAAGAAAAGAAAAGAAAAGAAAAGAAAAGAAAAGAAAAGAAAAGA